AAAATAGTCATGTTGGAAGGAGCACTACGTCATCGTCAGGGCCTACCTCCAAATGATTCAGCACTTTCAGTCATGCAATGCAACAGTCGAAGACTAGTTTAATTTTGCTGTCTAAATAAAAGATATGTGTAATTTCCTCTCACAGTTGTCTTCTTATTACTGTGGTCTGTATTTTACTGGAGAGGGCTCAGGCTGAATGAAATGTGAGGCTTTGAAAGTGGTCATTTCCCGAGGTGTTTGCAGCTCCCCGGGATGTTAGCAACCGAATCCACGGCAACAACAGATTTAACACTTTAATTACAAGTACAAAGACCAAGACATACATCCAATAATCACTGTAAAAATGCGCAAAGGCGAGTTCAGATTCAGTAATTTGTTATAGATTGGAGGACTCAAGTAAGATGAACTTTATGATGAAATTTTCTTGATTTATTATTTTTTTTGTCATCAATACATTAAATGTTCTATATTGCATGAAATTGATTCTTGTGAGCTTTTAGTCATGTTATAATGCAGTTACCTCCTCAAAAACATGCCTGGAGTTCTGTTTGGTTTCATTCACACATGTTTGAGTAACCATTTATTATTAGTCTGTCTGCATCTCCAAAGCCCCACCTTATGATGTCATGAAGCAGTATTCTTCAAGTTAATAACAGCAAGACATCACAAGGGGAAAATGAGAGAGAACTCAGTTTAAAAATGCAGGGTTTGTGTGTTAAACATGTGTAAGTGAAACAAAACACAACTCCAGATGAGAAACTTTTAACAGACATCAGAAAATAATGTATTACTATATGCCCTTTAAGAGACAGGTCAACACAACAGTTTGTAACAATTCCTATGCAATCTTGGAAATGTTATTGCTTTGCATGAAATATTCCACAGTATAGAGAGAAACAGGTAACAATGCCAAGCCAGTTTACAAGTCAGATTGATGAAGAGGTGGGATCACTTTCAGTAAAAATGTTTTTCAAGGTTTGAGCAAAAAAAAACACCTGTAAATGATGCAAAAAGATATCTTTAATGCCATACTGTGGAATATTTTAGAGACAAAGCATTAACATCTCCACAGAGACAACCAGGTGGTGTACCCTCCATGAGAAAAGTTAGTGCACCTTTATGAAGTGTCTTGTTCGAAAACTTTAGACAAATCACTTGCTCTATCAAATCAAGTCTTCTAAATATTCTGTATTGGTAACTTAAGGCTATAGCACTGGTGGTTTCATGAGTTCCATTCTGCTCTTTGTGTCTCGTTCTAAGACCATTTTCTTCATAAATCCTCTCAGGAAGAGTCTAGCATCCCCAGATCTTGACAAATGGGTGAGATTTACAGCCCTCTCCTCCACACGGCTCCCATCTCCATCTCCATCACAGCTCCTCACACATGGTCGCACCAAGAGCATAAACCAGTCCCACACTAACTGCTTGCTGCAACAATGAGAAAATGTGTAGATTTGAAACAAAACTGAAGATATTATTTTTAATTCAGAAATAAATTGATTTGTTTATTGTGCATGATTAATGCAGGAAAAAAGTCTAGTATGTATCTGAGCTAAACTGAATGCACAAAAAGGAGTACATTTGTATTTAAAAAGACTTAAACTTATACTTCCAATTAGATGCTTGGACACACTTTTTCATGTATGTTTCTTCTTTATTTCCATAATTATTTACCTTATAGATTCTCACTGGCATCAAAACTCTGAATCAATGCATACAGACTGTAGTAAGCAAAAAGATAAACTCACAATAACTCAAAGCTTAATTGTTTCAGATTTTTAAAAGTAGCCACCCTTTACTTTGATCACTAGTATGCACTCTTGGCATTCCCTGACCCTGACACTGCACACATGTGAAGTAAAAACTCTTTCAGGAGACTTCACCTTAAAGATCATTGAGAGTTTTGGGTTTGCAGCTCTGTAAACAAAGGAAAGGGTGGCTACTTTGAGCACTTGGGTGTTAAATATACGAAAATATATACACTATATACTATACACAAATACTTAGTTGAGTTATTAAATTTTTTTCATTTCTACATAATTCCATATATCTTGCTTCATATGTGTGATGTCTTCTGTGTGTGTATACAAAATGCAGAAGGTAGTCAACTTAAAGAAATAAAAACACTGAGTGAGAGGATGTGTTCAAAATTTTGACTGGTATTATTCACTTCCAAATCTTTAGCGAACTCACTCCATAAATCTCTATTCTGCAGTTATCCCATATAAATACTTCATAAAAGAATTAGAACATCCCACCCTCAGGCTATCAAACACTGACTTAAAGGGAGAAAAAAAACAGACAATAAGACCAAAAAAAAAGGCTTCATATTCACAATTCTTTTACACATAAATGTTCACTATTACCTCACCTGCATCATATGATTCATGATTACAGACAGATATTAAGAGTGCATGTTTAGCCCCAATATATTTTCTACTTCAAGGCTCTAACCACACCTTGTACACAGCAGCAGCATTGCAGAGACATAAATTTTTGAAGAACTGCGATCCGCTCCACACAAGTGCAGACACTGGGACGTTGTGGTACTCACTGGTGGTGGTCCAGGAGAGATGTGATAATCACATCCCTCTGTCTGAACCAAGGTCTATGGCTCTCGGGTTGAGGCTGTGAGAGGTCAGGGGGGTCAGTGCTCTGCAGATCCATCATGTATCTGTGGTAAAGAAATACTTCTGCATTTAATAGTTCAAGGTGACATTGTCTGAGCCTATAATTCTTCAAGTTCACATCAGCCAATACATAAAAAACACTGTAACTCTACCTAAAGTAATGTACTATGAGCTTGAAGATGGTGTAATCCCTTATTTGCCCAGGAGTGGTTCAGTGTAGAACAGTTTCAACAGTGGTCATCTTTTTTTGAAAATTGAAAATGGCTTCTGAATGGATGTGAAAACAGTATCCAGATGACCATCACTGAAACCCTCTTTAAATGAACTTGAAGTGACGCATGTGAATGTAGCACATGTAGTAAATAAAATATAAAGAGAATACCATTGTGCTGCACCACATTATCCCAGCTCTTATTTAACTTATTTAACTTTTCACTTACTTAAATTGTCTTTTTTACCTTGTTGTTTTTTATCCTTATTGTCATGAATTGTGAGGTTGTATGAATTTGACTGACTGCTAAACAGTTGCCGCCTAGGGACCTAATAAAGTCTTGAAGTTGAAAAGTATAAAGCAGGGGTGTCTAAATCATTTTCATCGAGGATTGCTTATTAAAATATAGACTACATCCATAAAAGTTGTATTTATCTGAAGTTTGACCAAGCGTCACTATTAGTGCATGGAACCTTCTTGTCAGGTTTGGGATGACAGTAGATGACTCAAGATAACTGCTATTTTGTGACTATTAAAATCAACAACACATTAATTAGAGGCTGGTTGACCTTTAGTAGTATTGACAGTTTTTGGTTGACAAATAATCACATTTCACAGTGACCATTCTCAGTCAAGACAAACCTTTATTGATGGTGTGTAGTAATAGCAAGTACAGTAAAGTTAAAAGCATGACAGACTACATTCAACCCCTATAAGCTTTTGTCATCACGGCAGCAATCGCAAGCACAAAACTCAAAGATGAACAAAATAATACACACTTCACGAATGATTTGAAAGAAGCTGCTGGTGTTATAAGGCATTTCACTCCCTAGATTATTTAATGCATGGCTACTCACGATAATTTGCTCAATATCTGTGAACTTCAAACCCGTCTAAGTGTAGTATGTGTACTTATATCTTGGCAGTGCTGCAGTAGTGATTTTTCAAGTCATTCATGAAAAAGAAATAGACTAGTGACTACCCATCCATCCAACCTTAGGTTACATTCGCATACTTGTGTCCAAGCTTTCTAACTCTAGGCCACTGTTTAAAACTACTCACTATTACCATCACAGAGGACTAGATCACAAGGGAATCTGCCATGTATACAGTCAGTGTTTTGAATTGGAGAACTATGTGGAGCAGCAATAGAGAAGAGTTATGTGAAAACGGCGGTGCTAAAGCAGTATTTCTAGAGGTGAGATCACACAAAAACAGGCATTATCCAGTCATGACCTTTGTTTGGAGGTTTACTTGTTTTGTATTAAGGTCGAGCAGGTGAACATGTGTAGTTCTTTAATTTGAACTTGGTTTTATGATTCCATGTCATGCAACTTCTTCACTCTTATCTAAATAGCACTATTAATTAGTTGTTATCAGATGTCTTCTTCAGTGTGATAATGAAGCACATCCTTTGCTGGCTATGTAAAAGCACCATGAAGGCCATTTGGACCTGTTGTGATGTAGTATTTCAATGTGGTAAAGGATGACATGTCATCATTTTATATTAAATGGATATGATGGTGGACTACATGCATCTACATACACCATGCATTGTTGCTTTTCGATAGAATGTTCTGAAATTGATTTAAGTCATAATTTTATATTGTGAAAGTAGACTGTTTAGAATATAGGTGTGGGTTTATATAATCCTGTGTAATGTGTGGTATAATTTAATAATCTGGAATAATCTATTGTCCATATTATGTTTTGTGTGATAACATGTTTTGTTTTAGTGTATTTTGGAAAAGGAGATTTCTACCAGATAAAACAGTTTGTTGCTTAATAAGTTACACTCTGTGCTTCTGAGATCTAATAGATGTGCATATTACCAACCAAATCAGCTTTACTCCCTGCTTTTGCTGGTCAAAGAGTCACAACCCATTGTGTTTCGATAAAATTACAGGTGGTGAACATGATACGAACAATGCGTATTGGGTTATGTGATGTTATTGTTGTAAATTATTGTTTCCTGTTTGGTAAAGATATGTGTGGGACAGTTAGGAAAAGGGGGAAGCTTACACTTACACACCGCTCCACATCTAACACTTCACACTTCACACAATCTGTCAAAACTCCTCAGTGTTTAGTGAAGAGGCTCCGGGTACAGAGGTTTAAAGGGAGACTTAACAGGAGGCTTATATACTACATTATGCTCTTTAGTTTTTCTGGGTAGTTGGGGTAGTGCTGGCTTCTGGCTGCTTCTCTGTCTTCTTGGTGGTGACAATGGTCTCCTCATAAACATGGGACACCTTGGCTGCGGTCTTCTGGGGTGGTTCCTCATTCTTGCTCTCTTTCTTGACTGCTTTACTGGAGCTGGAGTACATTTGGGATGTGTAGCCATAGCTCTGCATGCCCCCGCCGGTAATGGAAGGGGTGGAGTAGGTGATCCCTGTCCCAATGCGGGTCTCCTCTCCCTCAAGCAGCTTCCTATACACATAAATAAGATATTCTCTCAAAAATGTCCTGTTTTACGATATTTAAGTCTACTTATTACTCTATTTGCATTTTAGTAATGAAACATACCTGTATGCTGCAATTTCGATATCCAGTGCCATCTTAACATTCAGCAGCTCCTGGTATTCCCTCAGATGACGAGCCATCTCAGTCTTAGTGGTCCTCAACTCATTCTCAAGCTCTGCCATGTTCTCCTAATTAACGTGACAAAACATGATTGTAATCAACGTCAAGAGATTTACAACTGCCATCAACCCACTGCAATCAGAGAATAATGTTCTCCCGAGGAGATGTATTTGTATAAGATTTACAGCACTCAAACAGATTATTTTATAGCTATAGTAATGTAGTCTGTCTGTGGCGGCAAAAACATGATAAATATAAACAAAGAGTGGGCGTTGTCAGCCTCAGGTGCCTTTGTCCCCGGAGCGAAGGATTCAGCACCATGGACAGCGCCCGCTTCTTTAGCATTTCTTTGCTGGTTTTTACCTGATATCCTGCGATTTCCATCGCATGCCTGTCCTCCATTTCACGAAGCTGCTTCTCCAGAGACTCGTTGGTACCCCTCAGACCTTCAATCTCGATGGTCCTGGACTGCAGCTGCCTGCGGAACTCGTTAACTTCTTCCCTGCTTGCGCGGATCGCCTCGTTGCTGCGGTTGGCCTGCTCAGACAGGTCTGCAAACTTGGACTTGTACCACTCCTCCGCAGACTGCAGGTTCTTTGAGGCCATGGACTCGTATTGGCCGCGGATTTCCTTAAGGGCGGAGGTCAGGTCTGGTTTGGCCACCTCCATCTCTACAGAGACCTGCGCAGCCTGGATCATGTCGGTCAGCTCGGCCACCTCCTCCTCATGCACCTTTCGGAGGAAGTTAATTTCGTCCAACAGGGACTCGACCTTCTTCTCCAGGTCCAGACGCACCATGGTGGCATCGTCCACATCTTTCTTAAAAGCTTTGAGCGCAGCCTCCGCGTCCTCACGCGCACGGAACTCTTCTTCGTACTTAACTCGGACCTTCTGGAGATCGTCCTCAACGTTGTCTCTGTCGATCAGAAGCTGGGATTTCTCTCCGTTGAGTTCCTCAATTTGGGAGCGCAACTCGCGGATCTCCTGTTGGTAGAGCTCAGCCAGGCGGGACGGCTCACTCTGCCTCTGGCGCAGCGCAACCAGCTCCGTCTCCAAGACTTTGTTCTGCTGTTCCAAGTTGCGCACTTTTTCAATGAACATCGCAAAACGGTCATTTAGACCTTGCATCTGCTCCTTCTCATTAGTGCGGACGATCTTAAACTCATTGTTAAGGATGCTACTCTGATTCAGGTCGAAGCTCTCCAGGGGCATAGAAGAAAATGAGCGACCTCCGGACTTTCTATTGTAGGCGCCCACTGATGAGGCACTGCTCCGAGACAGAGAGGTGGACCGGTAAGCCCCGCGCGAAGTCATGGTAGTTCGTGCCGGGGAGGAAGAATAACGGGGAGATTCCCCGAAAATCCTTCGGTAGGAAGAGGCGGAAAACGATTCAGATCCGTAACTCATCTTGGCTCGTCTGGAGCACAGCAGTGGGCGCGCCCCCTTATATACAGGACCAGCGAATCACTAATTAATACCCCTACGCCCTCAGGCCGCGTGCGTCATGTCACTTAGACAACCCTAAACCGTGTTTTAACTCTAATATTTGTTAATTTGTCAAATTAAGTAGCATTAATAATCTTAATGCAGTTGCACTACTGTGCTGACTCTGCTTTTTGTTTTGGGAAAGTGTCCATAGTGATCTGTGCAAAACTCATCTAATAATATCCTTGACTTTTGATACCGATGTGCCTTTCTCTGTGAAGATCCTATTTTAAGTGTTTTGCTTTAGGGGCTTCTTTCTTTGGTCTGTCTTCCCTCTCATGTTCTACTTAAATGTTGTGTTGTAATTATGCATTCGTTATAGTTTAGGTTTAGGATCAAATGTATGATTCTTGTATGATGTACGATTCTTCAGATATAAATGATCTACTACTTCCCCATAAGAAACTAACACCTTTTTGATGCTTATTTAAATTCCTACATAGTTATAGAGCTAACATATTTATGACTTGAGACTTTGCTGCCCCCTGTTGGCTAAGCACAGTCCTCACATCTGCATTCTCACTGCCTGTTTATGAATGATTCTAAAATGTGTTTCTAAGACCTATAAATAAATAAATAAATAAAGACACTTCAGAAAACTAACAGAATAAACCAGTGCGTTTGTAGGTGTGTATAGTGTGTACGTTACACTGGTGCAGGCCTATAACACAAAACTCCTTTACTACTCTTTTACTATTAACAAAATTAACAGCCACTGTATCTTTTTATTTCAATCTATTTAAGAAAATCCTGCACAGATGATGACTGTACAAATAAATCGAATTTTACTGTTACTGTCGCAATAGCTGATTTAGGGTGGGTGTCTTAGGGGCCTGTCAATAAAGAACACAGCACTAGGCTAATTTAGGGGGGGGGGGGGGGGGGTTGACCCCACGTTTAGAAACTGAGTGAATGAATAACTTGACGATGGCTCCAGCCTCTCTGTACCATGATGTGATCAGCTGATAACAGATACAGTACCATGTGATCATGCCACGAATGCAACCAGACCCCTCCCCTTTGGTGACTTAGAGGGGTATGTCCCGCCCCCTGAATGTCTCAAAACAACTGGTGAGACAAGAGAGATAGAGGGGCAGCGGAGGTCTGAGAGCAGGGACGCCACTCATCTACTGCCTGACTTTATTCACCATTGCATTTGCAGCTCACTGTAAAAATATCTCCACTCGAGCATTTCTGAGACTTTTACACGACTCACGGCGCATGCTCAGACTGACAGACGGTGCAGTGCTTTTAATCAGGAACTACGAGGTGAGTACTGTAATGCATTCAGGATATAGGTCTACGATTTGGGGCTTTTGTTTTCCCTCAAGCCTTTGCTACATTGTTAATCGAGCAATTTATATTTGCTCCTTGCTTGCTGTCATTGTCAATCAGGTAGGCGAAGCAAGGAATGTTGTCTAACCAAATGTTAACGTGATTTAGATCAACAGAACCGGACCTTCTCCGAACAATAAATGCTAGAAGGCTTTTCCTCTGGTCTGAGGTACTATAGTGTATGCATTTTATCGTAAGCGAAGCGAATCCCCAAACCCAAAAGTACTGTATATTATTGAAACCAACTGTGCGTATAAAGGTAAAATACCCGTGAAACCATCTGCGTCGGCCTCGCCGTTGCAAAGTTGCTGTCTTGTGTAACTGTCACTCACAAAGCAGCAGCGGACAAAGCCAGAGTTGTTTTGATGTCTCCTTGCACAGCTACCTGCAGACCCATCTGGACCAATTTCAGCTATGGGTCAAATTATATCCAAACAAAAAGAAAAAAAACATATTTAGGATTATTAATGCGTCATTAATACGTTGTTAAGGGTCGCATGGCAAACTTTGTATCTATGACAGTGTCACTGGGCACTTCGTGGTCCCACTGACATTTCTTTGCTGACCTAATCTCATTTGCATTTGTGCTGGCATAGGAACAAGAAAGCTGACCTCTGCCTTTCCTTCCTGTTGCCCAGCCTCTCCAGTGACAGCGGAGAATGATAGTCAGCTGGAGGACAAGCTCAACTTTGACTATTGCAAAACAAAGTCTATCAAGAAGACGTCACAGAAAACAGACAAAAGTCTTACTGAAGAAATATAATGTCAACATAATATCCTATTTCTGTTTATAACGTCAAAGTGCATTAACAGCTCCAGGGTGCAACATTTCATTGTTAAACTGACTAGTGCATAAAAAACACAGGGTAAATTGCATTCCTCCTGCTCTAAACACATGAAGATGCAGTGAGATATTAATTTCTTTGCCCGGTTTTTACCATTTTAGACAATTTTTAAAGAATGACGACTTCATGGAGTGACCGACTACAGAACTTTGCAGACCTGCCCGCCAACATGGACAGACTGGCAATGAAGAAATACAGAAGAGAGCCCTATCACAGGTGAGCCACTCATATAGTTTATGCCGGTGATTCCCAACCTTTTTTCTCCCAGTATTTTATCTGTGGATATGTTTGCAACCCCCACATAATTCTCTTACCTGATAAAGTCATTAAAATTATCATAATCTACTTTGGACCTCTTTTGTAAGAACCCTGTGGATCCCTTGAGAATCTTTGAAGACCCAAATCTGACGACCTTAAGGTCACATGAACATATTATTTTACTTGAAAAAACTGCATTGGATTTCAAGAGTATTTGGTAGCTGGATGTTAGAAAATCCTTGACTATTCCAACAGAAATATAAAGAATTTGACAAATTCGCACCAAAAATGTTAAGTTGTACATTTATGCTTTCTTTTACAGTTATAACATAATGTAATGTGCTTATTTGTGATGGTGTTGGTACAGTCTGCTGTAGTTTGTAATTGTTGCTTTTACTGGACAAACCTAATTCATTTTTACAACTTCTGTGAAAAATTCCTCATTGCCTTTTGACCAAATGCCACTGATGTTTGAGTTTCTCTCAGAAAAGGCTCAAAGTATGTAAGTTCTATAGATGCTCTGACCACTTAATCATCACTTGTAATTGCACGTTTCACTCTAATTAAATCTGACAACACAGATTATGATGTGATTCACGGTTCACTTTTTTTTTTTTTTTTTCAAAGTCGTAGCTGTAGCATTCTCTGAAATGTTCTGTCAGTCACCTTTCTATTGGCCCTGTGAGGACCTAACAAACATATGTTTATGTCTGATCATATTACCATTAGGATATCCACAGGGCATGCTTAAAATTAACTCTTAAACTTTAACTCTAAATCTGCCCTTACAATCAGTGATCCATAAACAGCAGGGTTATCTTCCTCCTATTCTATCCTCTGCCAGTGCATTTTTATCTCTACTGTCTAATTTAATTTTATCTTTAAGTGCAGACTAAAGGTGACCTATGTTTATCTTATACAAAGACTACTTTTTTTAAAGAGAAGCTGGACTGAAACTTACTGAGTGAGCCACATATCACATTGCAAAGGGCTGGTGACTGGATGACACTGGATGACACTAGATAAACTGTCTATCAGTGGGAGCCGAGTCTCTGTCTACAGGAGATTAAACCAGTGGAAAAAATCTGTCAGATTATTGCACAGCTGTGCTCTGACAGAGTAGCTAGTTAAAGCCCGCTTTGTGCACCAGGTACCGTGTGGTTATTCGGGGACTGTCAGTGGGGCCAGGATTGAGCCTGACTCAGGCATTGAGGAACCCTCGCCCATTGTAAATACATGTGAACTCTGGACAGCCATGAGCTCACTCTAATCATTTATGACTGTTATGACATGTACTTAGATACATACAGAGGTCACCAAGAGGTCATGAGTACAACTAAAAAGAGAGTATGTGTAGTGTAGTTAAGGTGAATCCACTCAAGAGCTGAAAAACAAACAATTCATTTTTAATTTCATTGACAGACCTTATCTGGTCCATTATATATTTTGTTTTTTAAAAGCTGTAGATACAAAAATTCATAGCTCTGTAGGCTCATATCAAATCTTAAATATCTGCAAAAGCATACAAACTTATTTATTTTATTTTTGTTCTGCCTTTCCTTGGTTTAGACCATCTTAAGCATACAACTTGATTTAGTTTAGTAGTTGTCCTATTTATGTGTCGGTTAAGTCAAAGCAAGACATTGTTTTATACTATTTTAACCATGATTTATTCTATTTTAACCATGAGTTAGTCCTATTTCATTTGAAAATAGTTCATACATTTACTTGCATGAGTCTTGGCAAAGGGAACTTCCCGTAGCTTATCTATTAGAAGGTACCTCAGACACAAAAATACATCAATACACATTACAATTTAATCTTAGGAGTATTGTCCCATACTTAACAATCACCCTACAGTCCCTTTTTTTCTTCAAAGTTATTATTTGTCCTGCTTCTCACACATTCATTCAAGACATCATATTTGCATTTTTATAACACATCTAGTAATGTTAATGATAATTACATACTTATTAATTAAATACTTGTTTATTGTAGCATTTGGGGTGCTTGATTCTACCTGACATGTGATGGTTCTGGATGTCTTTGAGTTCATCACAAACATCACACTGCCCAAAAACGAAAACAACAACAACATAGAGCGACTGATGCCACACAACAGAGAATGCCACGGAAAGGTCACAATCATTTTTGCAACAAGTCAAAAAAAAATGTGAATGACAAGAAAGCAGAGCGGTGGAGAGAGAGTGAGGGGGTATTGTTCTGCGGCACTGTGGCAGGTTAGACCCACAGGGGAGTCAAAGGCAGGTTTAGTTTTGTGCAGAATGCATCGTCACTTCTCTGCTGGGCTAAGATCTAAATGGGAGCTTGTACACTATGGATCGGCTGCAAGGTATTTTTTATATAGGATGTCCACATAGTTTGATACTTATATTGTAAGCTTAAAAAACTGTGCTGACAGTTTGTTGTTTCTATAATTTCTTCTCATTTCTGTGCATTTTACTGTGCTGTAGAGGTTAACTGGTTTGTTTCGAGCTTAAGGTAATATTGATTTCTGTGGCAATACCCAAGGCAATATTTATCCTTTTTGTTAGAAAAGTTTGCTAAATAAAAGATAAGATGTGGAATTACGTGCCAGTAGTCCAGGTTTGTTCAGTATATGTGACTTTTCTATGTACTTTTGGAGCCCGTTGCCAGGATATGTAAACATGATCTTTTACAGTGACCCATTTGGACTATCTTTTATTTATGTGGAAAAAGGCAGCGCTTTTTTGGGAGGTAGCTTCAATAACTGCAACAAGCCATCTTTTTGTTTCTTATTTTAGTTTGCCAATGCCCAGCACACAAATGTAACTTAATATCACAGTTGTTATGTTATAACCCCTTCAGTGAATTATAGGTAAGAATAGATTTATTAGCTTGTATTTTTAGCTGTCGTGTCATTATGAGACTGTTTAGCAACTGTCACATACCACATACTTTATATAATGTTTACAACGTGGTGGCATATTGATATAGTATGACCATGAGGTTTATTTCTATACTAGCACTCAAGTTGTTTACAGCCTCTCTATGGACACTGTATATATGTTTATGTTTGTATATATGTTTTTGCTATTGAGAATCACAGAATGATTGCGTACTGGTTTAATCCTCAATTTCAGTTTTCATTGTGTTTGTCCACAGAGTGTTTGTCAACAGAAGCTTGGCTATGGAGAAGATTAAATGCTTTGGATTTGATATGGATTACACTTTAGCAGGTAAGGTGGATAATATGTACGTGCAAAATGTAGCATATTAAAAGAAAATTATTTTATTATTTAATCTCTGTAATCCCCAAATAGGTTTAAATTGACTATGCTGAGTAGAACTGTCAATATAAAAAACTAAATTTTAACACCATGTAAAGGGCTCTATACTGAAAACCTTCCACAATGATAAAACACTTAGATACGTAATAGAATGTAAATTTAGACAGAAAATTTCTCTTTAATGTTACTATGTAATCTTGTTCTAGCTCTAATATAGATAGTCCATTATGAAAATAATGAGCAAAGATGTTTTTTAGTATTGTTTAGTAATAATGGTGTTGCTTTTCAACTACCGTGGTACTGAGTTGGAGCCTTGCTCTGCAGCACTGCAAGTTTTCAGTATCACATTAATTATGCAGTCAAAATAAGTGTCACTGAAGAATCTAATATCATACACTTGAATTATTTTTAGTTGATATTTCAATTTGATATACTTAGGAAATACAAAATACTACAGCAAAATAATGATACAGTGTTGCTATTATAGTTTTCGGTCACATTCACATTTAACCTCTCTCTATCTCACTAGAACATTTCCGTTTTCACCTTTGACCAGGTGCATAGATTACATATAAATTGATACGTGGTTAGATGGCTGCTATCAGTATCACATATTTCACAGAATATCTAACAAAAAATATACCTCTTTTTTATATTGGTACCTGAACTTACTTTTTTTCAATATGTTGCATGGATCGTTTTCAGTATGTTGCACGGATCTAACCATAAAGTAGAATTTTTTTTTTAAATTCTATGTACGATCAATTTGAGCAAAGCCAGTAGCTTGTAATCCTTGCATTGGGACTTTTGGTATTAGTTTTTTTATCTAAATGCACCAAGGAACCTTCAAAAATCTCCAGCTCCACTTTTTGGCACAATGTCTTGTCTAAAGTATGTTGTCACATTTAGAAGAATGGTTGTGGCTCTTATGGTTTGCCGTCAGAACATATTTTAGTCCCTCTCACTGACCAGTAACTGAGCTAAAATGGGACTTTATTTTTTCATGTTTCCTACTGTGACTCAGCTCCAATTTTTAGCCTCCATCTCCCAAAATACATCTCCCCTTTCTTTGGGAACCGGGTCATGTTTGTTTGTTGAGTGCACCTCCCTTGAGAACCATGATCGCTCCTAGTCCCTGTTGGTAATGGGGCTGGATCCTGGGCTCATACTGGCTGCAGATTTTATGAACGCTCAGCTGTTGACATGTCACTCTTTATGGGTGCTCATAACCAAGTGTTAATGTTTGTTTGAAGCTATGAGTATCAGGTGTCTTTGGACAGTACTCAGGCTTGGACCAGAAACATGGTTCATCAGGTCCAAGGTGCTTCCCGTTTTACAGAGTCACAGCATCCACAACATGAAGGATGTGTAAGTAATTGGAAGTAGTATAGTTTTACTGTAATCTAAACGAGTTTCTGTTACTTACTTGAAGTAACAACTTCAATGTTGTGTCTCGGTACATAAATTTCAAACTTGATTTCAATACTAAGAAATAGGCTTGACACTGAATATACTGAATACACTGAATACCAATTTTGATACCACAATGATAATAAAAATGCTATTTTTGTATAGAAAACACTGATATTTTCAACACAAAATAATAGCATTTTCTTTATACTAACATGTGGTCTTACTATACTATTCGTGATAAAGCTCATGATTATGCTAAAACTATTCTGGAAAGGTCAGATTTTGTCCTATTAATGTGTCTTTTTGTATGGATACTTAAATGAGTATGAGATCAAATTAGTATCTAGTTTCTATGCTAGTTTTGTTGTTGATTAGTACCTAGCTTTTTATACTTTTGACAACCTTAAACCAGAGTATATGACAAACATAAAGATCAGATAATACTGATGACTTTACTTTTTTAACATGAACAAATCATTGTGTGTAACTGACTTAACTGTGTAACTGAGTATGTTGAATATGGTTAAGTCATTCAATACAGTGAAGTAAGGATTCAAATATTAGATGTTTTAGTAAATAAGACAATTATTGTACATTTGGCTTGTGGACACCTTTTGCACACTTGAATGTCACTGTGTTCTCATAATTTGTATATAACTTCCATAGAACATACATTTGCTATAGTTAAAACATTTAGCTCCAAAAGCAGGGCAGATTTTAGCCTGAAGAAATCCTTGCTCCAGCAGGATGTACACACATGTCCTAGATTTCCAACCAGATTTTTGCTTAGTCCCTGGGGCCATGCATGAGTTTGCACATGTTATCGACTGGTGCATTGCAATAATTGTGTAAATCTCCAGTTTAAGTAGGATTCTCTCACATTAAGTTGTTTGTGACATGGTTATTTCGACAAGCTTATGGTAGTTGTTTATGAGCCACTTTACTTGTTGTTGTGAGAGGTGTGTCTTACATTAGGCCTGAGTTGACCTGACCTAAAACTCTACAGACACCACACACTACCACAGCAGGGGTATAATTATCTGGCAACAATCTTAATGGAGATGTGAGGTAACAGATCCTAGAGCGACAGACCTCGCTCACTCGGCTGTGTATTTACTCTGTATTTGCTCTCCTGTATGTCTATGTGTACATGTGCCTTATGACCACATAGGAAACCTGAGAAGGGGCTTGCACCAGAGAGCAGTGACCCCTTTAAAAAAGAAATTCCAATAATGAGAGTCAGTCCAAACTACATTTTCCACTGCACATAATTTGAACCTGATGTTTTAATCTTGTGTTGACCATTGTAGGGTGTCACAGCATTTTTTATAGATGTAACCCCCATGTTTAAACACTTAGCGACAAGTCCACAAATCACTTTACAAATAACTGCTAATGTATTCACACTTCTAATGTTAGAGAAGTTTCTGGGGTATCATTAGTTTAGTACACTTTAACACTGACATTTTATCCCATCAACAAGCCACACTGGCAAGTTGGACAGGTTAGACTTGGAATCACCAAAACACTGGTCTAACAGCCCTTTTAACCTGAATGAGAGGTGTGATTTTCCCTGCCAGTTTCAACTAGCTGTTAACATAATCTGACATTTGTTTAGAATTTTCTCCATTGTTGGCCCAACTATTCCCAAGGTTAAACTGTGTGCGACCCCCCCCGAACAGACTAAAGAAAGAGAGAGTGATGATAGCAGGGTGACGGAGGGGAAACAGCTCCTAAAATAGTCTTCTTCTTTGAAGTGCCTTAGACCTCCTGCATCAGAAAGAATGGCATGAGGAGGGTTCACTGTGATGGTGAATGCAGTTGGGGGGTGGGGGTGGAGTATTATTGATATAAGTTTATGCAATAAAAAGAAGTGTATTGCAAATGTCTCAAGCTGGTACATTTTACACAGTAAGACTCAGATGTTTTCATGTTTACCTCATCTATTTTAGGGCCTCACCAAGCAGAAAAAAACAAGCACCAAGTTTCACTAGTGCATTCTGCAATCTGTATAAATAACATTGGACTTATTCTTATCCCAGTGTCAGATAGCAGTTTAATCCCTTGGCCGACTCAGTCTGTTTTTATTGGTGAAGCCAGCGATCTCCACTGGTTGGCTGCTGACTAAAAATTGTTTCCATCTTACTGACAGGACTTGTTAGAGGCATTGCTGAAAGTCATTTTTTCATTTTGACGCCTGGTCCTGTTTCTTTGCGCCTTTGCTGACAGAACATCCAAGTCTTTGTTGACCACATACACTGTAAAGGGCAGATGACCAGCATATACACTGAGAACATATAACATATAAAAACAGCAGCACGCCAAGCAGACGGCATCATTCACATATCCCATGTGTTATATAACAGACGCATGTTCCCTGTGCCCCCAGTAAAGAAGTGTTTTAGGTGTAATCATGGCCCAAGTGTAGTTTGTGCTTTTAGCCGTGTGACCTTTCGACATGTCTTTTGCAACAGTTCAGTCCTAAAGATAAATGACCAATTGTCCATGGTAGCCACGTGAAGATGTCACAAAACAATATAATGTTACAGACAGATCTGGCTTATTTTAACAAATTCAATCAATTCATTTTACACAATCACATTTTGTATAATGCAATTTTCCCATGTGGGATGGATAAAAGTTATATTATCTTAAATTATTATTATTACTGTTAAACTGCTTTCACCTATGTATGTTTCACTCAACTGTTTTATCTGACATTGTATGTTTGCTTTGTAGTGTACAAGTCACCAGAGTACGAGTCATTAGGCTTTGAGCTCACAGTGGAGCGCCTGGTTTCCATTGGTTACCCACAGGAGCTGCTCAGTTTTGTCTATGATCCATCCTTTCCTACCAGGTGACAATATTTATACAGACATATTTAATCTCTGCTCTTCCTGCAAATATTTTATTCATTAAACTTACTGCACTGTATTTTAAAATTACACTGTTCTTGCTCACAGAGGTCTTGTATTTGACACTATGTATGGAAACCTGTTGAAGGTTGACGCATATGGTAATATACTTGTCTGTGTACATGGATTCAACTTTCTAAGAGGGTCAGTATCTTATCTACTTATTTTAAATTCTGTCTGTATTTCTTTACCATTATATAATGGGTATGTTTTTTTCCAGTCCTGAGATTCGTGAAAGATACCCAAACAAATTCATTCAGAGAGATGATACAGAACGCTTTTATATTCTAAACACACTTTTTAACCTCCCAGGTAAGATTTGTGTCATTTACAACTATAATTATTTAGTCGCTATTTCCCGTATAAATACATTTGTCTGTTTTGTGCCTGGGCAGAGACCTACCTCTTTGCTTGTCTTGTGGACTTCTTCTCCAACTGTGACAGATATGCAAGGTATTGACATTTTTATTCACTTAGAACAGTTATGCAACATTTGTGGGCAGGGTGATACAAAGACAGATGCGAGCCAAAGTCAGGATCAGGCCCTGAGCAAGGGAGGGTCCTGGGGTCTTCACCTGTTTAATGTGCTAACTGTCAACAGGAATTTTATTGTATGATAAATTCCCTTATCATTAACTAGCAGTGAAAGCACTAATACTGTAGCTACCTAAATAAGTTACAATACTTAAATCATATTATATTTAAAGCCAAGACCTTTAAAATTGCAATTGTGATATGGAATGGCTGCATGTCTTTTGTCCTCTGTTGGTCTTTTAGGGGGAGAATGCTTTCCTGTTTGGCTGGGGACCCCTCCAACAAGGGAAGGCTTTCCCATTTAAAAGCAAACAAAAAACAAATGTCATGTTATAAAGGAGTTGTTCAGTGCTCTGGTTTGTCCCATGGCTGAGAATGTGTGTGTCTCTGCTCTTCTCCTGCAGTTGTGAAACGGGATTCAAAGATGGAGACCTGTTTATGTCCTACAAGAGTATGTTCCAGGATGTCCGCGACGCTGTGGACTGGGTGCACTTCAAGGTAAAATAATACTTGAAATTAGGGTTGGAGCGATATGGATTATATGGATTATATGAATCTAATTAGATTTTTTATTTAATAACTCTTTTTTACTTGAAAATGAATATATTTTTATTATTGATATTATTGATATATTGATATGAATAGAAACTGATCTCAATTTCATTAAAATTTGATTTACTACCCACCACTACATGACAGACTGAAAAGTATTCTTTTAGTACAGTAACCACAGAGGCCACAGTGACATGCATTTTAGGAAATTGCTTTTATGTAGGAATTTATGCAGAAATTGATAAACCAATATTACCTAAATATTATCTCTGTCTCATTTTCACAGGGCACACTGAAGGAAAAGACAGTAGAGAATATGGAGAAGTATGTAGTAAAAGATGTAAGTATTTTGCATTCAAGAAACCGGTTGTTCTGTGCAACAAGCTCCCCATGTTGTTTAGCTCCTGATGCCCAGTGCTTAAGTCTCTCCTTTTGTGTGTCTCTTTCTCTCTAGGGAAAGCTGCCTCTTCTCCTCAGTCGAATGAATGAAGTTGCCAAGGTGTTCCTGGCCACCAACAGCGACTACAAATACACTGATGTAAGCATAGGCATCAGGGCCATTTACTTAAACTTTTGGTCTACCTGATTTAGCCTTTTAGTTGCTTTAGTTGTTTTTTTTTCTCTTCCTAGAAAATCATGACCTACTTGTTTGACTTTCCACATGGGTCCAAGGTAAATATTCAGTACCACTTTATAATAAATACACTTTAATTAGATTTAAAGGTAAAATTTACTCTTGTGAGCTTTAAGTCATCTTAGAATGTTCTTACTTTCTCAAAAACATACCTTATGTTTATTTCATTCACACATGTTTGAGTGACCCTTTATTATTAGTCTGTTTACATCTTCAAAGCTCAAAATGCTCTGTTCCACCTTGTGATGTCATGTAATGGTAATTTTCACGTTAACTTCTACATTCTACTTTTCGTGCAGTAGAGTTTGGAGATTCCAGGGCTGAAATAATTAAAATCATTTTAGTAAATGTGTATGGAGTTTTAAACACAATGAAGCGCTTCTAGTATTACCACATTACATCGCAAGTTTTTATCAGTTTGAGAGAAGAATTCAGCCTAAATATGCAGGGTTTGTGTGTTAAAGGTGTGAGTGAAACAAAACACAATGCCAGGTATATTTGTGATGAGGAAACAACATTATAACATAGATCAGAAAAGAGCATAATATGGGCATGAACAAAGACATAATTCACTATGAACATGTATTAGCAATGATGCAGGCTTTGTAACTGCTTGATTAAGGGTTAGGGGCTAGGGGTCATTCTTAATAAACTATTTGTTCATAATTCAACAAGAGAAAATATATGTATTATGTTTCTGTACATGCTAAAGTATCTGTGCCCTCTAGCCTGGTACAGCCCACCGACCTTGGAAGTCCTACTTTGACCTGATCTTAGTGGATGCCAGAAAGCCTCTGTTTTTTGGTGAGGGCACAGTGCTGAGACAAGTTGATACGGTGAGCCAACACAGCTTTACACATTGCATAATAGTTTTGGAGTTTTGCCAGAAAAGATCATTTAACAGTAAATTATCTTTTGCCAGAAAAGATAATTTACTGTTTTATATATATATATATATATATATATATATATATATTTTTTTTTTTTTTTGCAGACAACTGGGCGTCTAAAAATAGGGACATACACTGGGCCTCTGCAGCATGGTATTGTCTATTCTGGAGGTATGTTGTCTGATTTATATGCACACTTTTCACAACTGGAAACTGAAATAACTTTTTTTTTTTTACTTTCTCTCCCCCAGGCTCTTCAGATATTGTTTGTGATTTACTTGGAGCTAAGGGTAAAGACATTATATATATCGGGGACCACATTTTTGGTGACATCCTCAAATCAAAGAAACGTCAAGGCTGGAGAACGTTCCTCGTCATTCCAGAGCTCGCTCAGGAGCTGCATGTATGGACAGACAAGAGCTGTAAGTCTTAATGCAAAAACAAAAATAAACAAACTTACTCATATGAATAGTTAGTAAATATCTATTCAAATAGCACACCTTTTTAGTCATAATAAAGGTAAAAACTGGTATCTGCCTAATAACATGTATACACTACCAGTCAAAAGTTTGGACACACTTTTTCATTTATATTTCTTCTTTATTTCCAATATTATTTACTGTAAATTGTAGATTCTCACTGAAGGCTTTAAGAATACGAATGGACACATATGGAATGCAGTGAACAAAAAATAAACTCAAAATAACTCAAAACTAGTTTTACATTGCGCACCATTAAAACACAGAAGGAAAGTCCAAATTAACAGGAAATATAAAGTACATCAGCTGCACAGCTGACTTCTTAACTGGTAGTGTCTGTATTTGACTGAAGGGTTTAAACTCTCTGTGCATTTTTTATAGCTTTATTTGAAGAACTGCAGGGTCTGGACATATTCTTGGCTGAGTTGTACAAGTAAGTCCTGTGAACTTTATCCTGTTTTTGCCTCTCTTTCAGTTTCTTTCAGTTATGTCTTTTCTCTCTTTGTAGAGGGTAGAGGGTATTTGCTTTGTTCACGTGTTTGATAGGGAACAAGGGGGTCAATAGGCCAAAGTCCAAACTCTGAACTGTAGTCTTCCCCTGATAACTGGGTTTACCACTTGTATTTATAGCTAGGCATGGCTCTATGTTGCGCCATTGCCTTGACACATCATATCAGTAGCAACCCACACCCTCCCTCACTCTGTGTCCTCATAGTTTAAATGTCTGTCCTCTTCCTTAGGCATTTGGACAGCAGCAGCAATGAGAGGCCGGACATCAGCACCATCCAGAGAAGAGTCAAGGTAATAAAAAGACCCTGTTTCTATGACGACAGTAACCCACCCACGCACCACGTTTAGCACATGGCTCTGTTGACACTGCCACAACCACATAATTAGATTTCAAGTAGAGTGCATCTTGATACATGAAAGCATGATAAATACATTACATTCATTAGATTTCCACTATTAGTTTTTGTGTTATGTCTTCAGACCATCTTGCACAACCCTCCCAGAAGGTTCTGACTCCACTTTTGGAACCAGTGGCCTAAAGCAAAGAAAGAAGTTCTATAAATGAACAAAGAAACTCAACAATGATACATAAATACTGTTAGTTGTAAATATTGTAATAGCCCTGGTGTTTGAAAGTGTGCACAGCTGAGAAGATAGTTGTCATCTAACTCCGATAAACTACTCTACTTTACCGTCTATTAGAGGTAATCAAATTATCAATAAGACTGTGAATGTTGTTGTGAAATTTTATATATTACGTTTATATTTATGATTAAAAATGTGAATTAAGTGATATTTTTCCATGCTTGTTTATAATTTTCAGTTACCCACAAAAATTCAGAAAAGTGCCCTAGTAACAAACAAACAAACCAATTTACCATATACACACCATTATTCATGTGTTTGTTGTGGTATTCATTTCAAATACAAAAAACACTGACATGGCATTTTCTGTTCCTCCTTCAGAAAGTCACCCATGATATGGACATGTGCTATGGCATGATGGGAAGTCTTTTCCGCAGTGGATCCAGACAGACTCTTTTTGCCTCCCAGGTCATGAGATACGCCGACTTATATGCAGCATCCTTCATCAACCTCCTGTACTATCCATTCAGCTACCTGTTCAGAGCCGCTCATGTACTGGTGCGTATTTTAGGACTTAAAACTTGAAATCTGGAACCTGAATGACTAGGTGACTACATAAATTACAGGTCAGATCTGTAGAATGGTGACCACAATCACAGTAATGGTGTATGTTCTTCAAGGTAATAAAATCCCTTAATGAAATAAATTGAGATAAATATGTTTAATACCATACTGTGCAACAGTCGAAGCAAATCAATAACATTTCCATCAAGAAAAATCAGAAAACCAGAAAAGTTAGATAGTGTACCTCTTAACATTTCCTATCCCTGATTACTGCATTGTATTTATTGTCTCTCTGTAGATGCCACACGAATCCACGGTTGAACACGCTCATGTTGACATGGACACAGAGTCACCGCTGGCCACACGAAACCGGACACACTGCAGCGACTGCAAAGACCTGGACTGTAAGCGCAACCAGTTTCACCCGCTCCTTCAGTGAAATCAAACCCCCAAATCTGTTCGCCCAGACGCCCCAAGAGATCACCCACTGTCACGACGAGGACGATGATGAAGAGGAGGAAGAGGAAGAAGAAGAGGAAGAAGAAGAAGAAGAAGAGGAGGAAGAAGAATAAGCTGTCTGAGGGCCAATACAACTTCAATACATTTACTTCAAAGTGTAAATATGAATACGGTATGCACATTACAGAGGATCATTAGGAGATCATGTGACTGTATGCATGCATGATCGTCTGCCTTATTTTGAACAAAACAGCAACCCTCTTGTATTTTCCTTCTGCTCATGGGTTTCTGTCACATGACATTCTCCTGCTATGAATGCAATTTTGAGGACATTTGACCTTTCAAAAGATAAATGTTTTGAACAGTTAATTGCTATGGCAACTGTACTATTTTTTATTACTTGGAAACCATGGGTAATACTTTGCATAAAACCAACATGACATATTTTATTCATATTTTTACCTTTGACTTGGCAACACAGAACATTTTTTTATAATGAAACTGACTTTTTATGCAAGTTGGGAACAAATGCATACATTTATCATACATTTTTGTTAGTTTTTCTTTTGGCACTCATTGATGCAAGAATTCATGTGCTGTTGCAATGTTCAAAGTGTTTATGTGACCGCTAAAGCAGCAGACAGACATTGCAATGATGATATTCTGAGGTACGTTGTACCAAACCAGCTAATACTGGGTTTTTGAAAAGGCAGTGTTTCCAGGCAACACTTAGGTAAAGGTGATATTACTATGATAATTGCCATGACAACATTTTAGCAACCTTGGAAAAAGGGATCAGATGTAGGGACACAAAAGCAAAACAGACAGTATTATGTCATAGAAGATTTTTTTTCACATTATCTTAAAAATAGTTGGCTTTCCAAATGCTTCATCCTAATCTGGTTTAACTATGCCAGGCACGGGCACACCTAAGATCAACCCAGGTCAAAATAAGATAGAAGCAAACGTGCACCAATTAAAACAGAACTGACAGGTTTACAAACATGCCTCCAAATGTAACAGTATCACAGTTTTAAAACTATGGAACTTGTACAAATGGGATGTATAGTGTATTCCTTTCTGTGTGAAGTGATTTTTGTATCTTATTGCAAGCAAGGGGTATGTCTTACATTGACAGTTTGAGTGAGGTGTGGATGGAGGCAAATCCAGTATTCTCTAAAACCTTAAACACTGTGATCTGTCCAGTTTATTTTCCGCTTCATTTGTGCTACATTTTGGCTTTTAGTTTTCCTGGGCTGCAGTCTTTACCAGTCATCTGTCGTAATGCATCAACGTTTTTAGCTTTTTGTCTCATTTGGTTTTTCCTTCTGGGGTCATCACTGTTAATGATTGGCTCCCTGTCGTGTAGTGATTTGCCTGCGTACCTGACGCAGGATGCTCTTTCTGATGTAACCTTTTCCGTCTATCCACACTTGGGATGGACTTGAGTATTTTCAGTCAGATTTCAATTATATTTTGTTTTTGAATTTTCCTGAGTTTACTTATTTGTCTGAACTTGTTTGAATAATCTTTACATGTTGTATTGGCCTATAGCTTCAGGCCACAAAAGGGAAGGAACACGGTGTCTGCATATTTTGAGCTTGGTTTAATGTGAAGTGGGAGAGGCAAGTTAGTTTTTCTTTGTGCGATCGACCATTCAACCTACATTATATTACGGTTTGTCATCCTTTTATATAGATACATTGTTTGTATTGTCGATTATGACTGGGTATTCTGGATATGCTACTTGAGGCAGCTGCATTCATTCAGTTCACTGTTGTTTCTGTGCATACTTGGCAAATGCATGTCAAATAACAAGATCTTTAATGCTGATATGACAGTGGCATAGGTTTGCTGCATTTATGTCACTATAGTTAACACAGAGGAGAACTACTGTACGATACAAACCATGAAGAAAAACAGCATGTTAAGTATGAAGCTACTTGTCAACACTATGGGATTATTTTCTAATGTAATGTAGTGCTTTTATTGGTCTTGGTTTACACAAGTGTAAATAGACCTCCGTTTCTTTTTTCATTTCTACACCAATTTTGATTAATTTTTGTTATATTTTTATAACTGAGTTTGGTATGCTGGTTATATTTTAAAACATTTAATTGTGTATACCAAAACAATTCTGTTGTTTTAAAATAAAGTGTTACCTTCAGTTTTAATTCTAGGAACTACTGATATTCTTTTGTTTATTTCCCCTTAGTTTATCTCACAAACTGTAAAATATGATAAAAATATAATGTAAATTAAACATAGTTTTCCAAATATGAATGATGTGTTTATCTTGTGTGTAGGTTTTAGATTATTCAAAAGATGTATGGCATCTTTAATCATTAATGAAGCAGATTCACAGACAGATTTGTTAATCATTCACTTTTTATTAAACCAACAGCTGGATGAGGCTTTGCGGTCCTCAGGGAGAAGCACATTGGCCAGCACATGGTACAGTAGCAGCACTAGGATGGACAAGAGAAACAGCAGTGTTTTATATGAAGATAGATGCTGATGATTTAGTCACAGAGCATCTTAAAGGGACATGACCTGTCAGTCAAAGCAGCCATGGAGTAACACCTCACCAGGCCCAGAGACCAAACTCAAATGGGACTATGACTTTTTTAGGCACAACTCTTGTAGCTTATGTCATTGATCCAAAAGCAGATCTGCTGCATAGGAGCACTTCCAAGTAAACAAGCAACATGATTCATAAACAGAAACTCAAACATAGATGCAGTTATGATCTTACGTATGTTAAAGACCAAAAGTGTGGAAACAGCGCCCACCTGTGGCTGTATACAGCAATGCAAAAATTATACTTCTTCATATAGTGGCCTCGTTGCATAGTGCATAACAGCTAGGCCTAGATGATTATGCATATGTCAATAAAAGAATTTAAACTAAATATATGGGATCAAGTTTGAGAGAACACAATATAAAACCTTGATCATGAGTTGGAAGGTTAGTTCATTCTAAATGCTTGCTATTATATTATGACATTAAGTCAAAGTAGTTTTCATGATTTGTCTATCTTTTGGTTTCATATTAATCAAATGTTTTAGCCAGAGATTGAATCTATTGGTCAAACAGAGAAAAATAATCACTGGTTAGACAACCTTTCTTGTGCAAATTGGTTAAATACAGTTAAACCTATATATCTGTATGTAGCCCTTTGTGGTCCATGAAGCACTAAAGTTTCAGACTTTAATTTAGAAAGTAACGAAAATAGACCAACTGAAAGTGCATATGACAGGTTTTCATGTTTTGTTTTGGGTTTTTTCCAATTATTACCTCATTTCGCGGGATGACTGTGGTGGTCAAGTTTGAGTTTTTAAAAAATGGTTCGAAATTTCAGGAACACTGTACTACGAAAAAGGATCCCACTATCTGTAATCAGTAGAACAATTTTCATTCAAAATGCAGGCACAGTTTACGCACAAAGAACAAATTTTTCAATTTAAACATAAATTTAAAAATTTGTATTTGTCAAATAATATTAAATAAAATATAATTCGATTATAACTATTTCTTGGTGAAATGAGTAGCCAAACCTGTCATATGCACTTTCTGTAACACATTATCTTTAGCTCTATATTGTTTACATTCCTTTATCATAAAATAAGTCAATAGCAGTTAATGACACAAGTCAGCATTACTGTAACATGTTGGTTTTACAGTAAATAATACAATCTTTTTTACTACTTATTTGACAAAGGCAACCAGAATAAACATAAAATGGAGTTATTTGATCTAACAATATTCGATTTATCTTGAGCATCGCAAGTGCCACTTAGGGCATTCTATAAGAATTCAGAAAAACATTTAAATAAGTGTAGTGTGCCAGTCAATGTCAATGAGGAAGCTATTCTGGGACAAATGAAACTAAAACTAAACCAATACTTTGTATTATAAAGGGAAAAAAGAAAAAAAATGTGTATGGTTTTTACATATCAAAAGAGAAGCCTGAACTTAGACTCCAAACCAAATGTGTGACGGCTTTGGGACTGTTGGTCTGGGTTGGTAGTTATTACCTGGTGTGTATGGCGTGCTCTACAAAATTCTGTATTTGCACTCAGTCCTGAAACGTCGTTTCCCTTGTAGTAAATGAAACAAACAATAACAAATGTTTTTTTTAGACTAGTTGTCTTTGTCAAATATTAAAAATGTTGAGGATTGGTAACTTTCTGTGGCACCATTAAGTAAAATAAATGAAAATCAACAGAGTGTGCTATTTTTTCACACAACTGTAGCTATAAAAACAAATGGCATACGGTTACAATGGATAAGTATAAGCAATGGGTCCTTTAAAGTAGAGCTTTTTTAGTATTTTGATGAAGACTCAAGTTAGTTTGATAGATGAGGTCATTATTACTGTGCAGTTAATAAACTGGAGTTTGCATAAAGTGGTCAATTAAAATATGTGCATAGGTGGCTTAGTGTTGGCCCTTGTACTCAGAGCTCTGTGACCTCTTCTGCCTGTGGTGACTGGCAACAAGACCTCGACATGAGGTCTCATGGAAAAATGGGCAGCTACTAACAGCTTGTGGATGGCTGTTTGCAAATCAAATATACACATATATGATACATACAAATATATAATACAGGCATTTTAAAAATAGGTAATCATTACTTAAATAAATTTCATTGCACGTTGTTAAAATAATTATATGATTTTTAAAGGCAATTGTGTGATGTTAAGGTGGAAAAGATAATATATCATAAGCCTGATTTATGATAATAGTAAAAATAACAATCTGTAATATACATTCTGTAAAAGACTTCTTCATTTACATAAATTCTGTGTCTGTCCTTGTTTATATGATGTGTGTACCACACACAGCTCACACATGCGAGTGCATGCTATAGTTCATTTCATATTGGTTCTCCACGCATACATATATACACATAATATTATAAAATAAATAAATATGGAAAACATTCTTGGTTTGTAGTTCAGCAGTTTCTGTCGAAGCTCAAACCATTGCTCTCTACATTGGGTTCTGAGTCCTTGCTGAAGATCTGAGCTTCCCTGCAATTGAGACTTTCCATTCAAGTCCAGTAAGAATGTGGACCAAAGTCTTTGGCCTGAGGAGAATTCTCTCTGTTACAAAAATAAAGTGGGGGAGCTAGTTCATGCACTCTCATCCCATGGTCCAGGTCTCCACTGTGGGCAGATATGCAGGCAGGTCCCTCCATAGGTGGATGTGCAGCTGGGAGGGACCGTGTTGGAGTGGGCGGTCGGGGTGTCACCGCACCCCTTTATCCTGGGCTCCTGCCCATGGGGGCAGAGCTTCTCCCCACATCCAGAAATCATCTTCTCCAGCCTGTGTCTGCTTAGACCAGCAGAGTGACTAGTTCTCACTGCTGTGGGCTGGTGCTAGATGGGTCCCTCGCTGTGGGCACTGTGGTTACTCCTATTAAGGCTTACACAGTTCAGTTGCTGGTTTAGTAAATGGGCTGTCTCATTGCCTACTGCTATAGCTACTGCAGGAGTACTGCTAGTGGATGTGGGGACCACTGTTGGTGTCTCTACTCCATCATGGAGCTCTGTCAGTGTTAGTTCAATTTTAGTAAATTCACTGGACTCCGTGGACTGTGGTGTTTTGTCCATTCGTGACGTAATCACTGCATTCTGGTACTGCTGCCGGGTAACCTTAAAATATAAAAAATATGTTTAACATTTCAGAATGAAAAAAATGTACGTAAAGTTTTTTATAACAATTTTTTTTAAATCCATCACTAAAAGTGTTGCAAATGTGTGCCTTAGTGTTAGTGATACGGGACACTGGGGAAAAGGCTCAATTCTCAACACCATTATTTTAAACAGAATGTCTAATACAAAATAATAAATTACTACATACTATCATGTGGAGTAATAGTAGCTCTGATATAGATGAAGTTCTTTCTAAAGCTATAGAAAATGTGTAGTAGCTTCAATAAAAGGCCCATATTATGCTATATTACACAATTTTCTTATCTATGTTTTAATGTTGTTTCCTCCTCATAAACATAACCAGTTGTGTTTTGTTTCATTCACACATGTTTAGCACACAAATCCTGCATATTTAGGCTGTGCTCTTCCCCTGTTGTACCTTGTGATGTCATGTGGTAATACGGGAAGTTTTTAAACTCCATACACTAGAATCATTTGGATGACTTTTCAGCCCTTGAATTGCCAATCTCTCAGTATTATTTATTTCAGCACCACTACACAGGGTATTATATGTAATTCTCAATTGCTCTTAACAATTATATGTATTTACCTTTATGTACTGCAGGTCTGAGCGTGCTCGCACTGAGTAGTCTGGGATATAGATTTGTAGAAATGAGTTGAGCTGGTTGTTGCTGTTGCCAAGAGTCGGTGTGATGGCATCTATCCGGTCACTTCTGTTCAGAGAGTCTGAGTGGTTTAGTCCAAAGGGCCGTGGGGGTGATTTATTCTCTGTAAAATAATGATACTTTTTTAAACTATCAACTCAACTATCATTTACTGACACCTTCAAATGGTAATCTAATGATTTAGAATATATTACATGGACATCATGCCTACAGACAGATGAGGAGAAATGACTGAAATTCAGCTTTGTTATGTCTAGAGTACGTGCTGTAAAACACAATTTCCATCTTTATGTGGCAGTTCATCTACTTAAATCTAGTGGTGAGGTCAAGACTTATAATTCCTCTTTGATCTTTGAAAATCTAATTTCTGTGAAGCCTTTGGAGACATTACAGCACATAATGATGACGTGCTCTCCCCTGACGCTGCTTCTGACCACTGGCCATTTCACACAGCACAGTTTTATGTTTTTGCTTTTTGCTTTTTAATTAAAGACAGATTATGTTTTCCACTTTCCACTAAATAATCCCAGTGAAAATCACACACAACAAAGTGGAAACAGCTTTGCCAACACTAATGCTACTACGCTGACTGGAATGTATGTAATCCCATGTTGGAATATGTGTGTGTGTGAGAGAGATAGAGCAATGTGTGTGTGCATCGCAACAGGACCAAGAACCAACAAGAGAACTAAGTACTTAACTTTCTTGGTTTTACAAGTTTGGTGCAAAAACAGTGTATAAAAAATGCACATGGACAAATGTGTGACAGTCTCATGTCTTTGGTCCGGTGTGTTCACATGAACATGTGTGTGCTCACTGATGTCCAGCAGGGGGCTGTAGCTGTAGGTCTTGTTTGTGCAGTGGAGGGGTTAAAGGTTAGGGGCGATGGGGGCGGAGCCAAGGACTGCTTTGGGGCCTCCAGTCTCAAGCACTATTCAGGTCCTTGACTAATGGCAGAAGGGATGTGGGTGTACAGTCTGAAGTGTTTTATTGTCACTACTTTCTCACCTCTTCCCCTCGTTAATATACTGTACATGTTGTGTGCAGCATTTGACTTTAGCACGTGATACCAAAATACAACATATTAGTGTAGTATAGCCAATCACTGTCAATCTACATAATTACATTGGTAAATCACTGTCAACACAAAAACATATTGGTAAAAAGAGCTGTACAATAGTGATCATACACACCAAAGATCTTCAAAAACTCCAAAATATGCACATGGAAGCACCATGTACCTAACCATTTATGGGATTCAGGGAAATGATTCCTTCCTGATTTGAACAACTTTGTCAGGACAATAATAGATGTAATATTTGATTTACACGGCTTGAAACCCATGGATATGCAAATAAATGTGTGGACAGGTGTGTATGGTATAATGTGCAGCTCAGATTTATTAAGAGGAAAAGAGAAAAATCCACTGTACCTGGAGATCCTGCTAAAGACTCAGCCCTACTGACAACAAAAGTGCGAGACAGGGAAAGAGGGACTAGACAGGGGAAAATGACAGAAAAGAAAAATCTGTCAGAGGTAAATAAGTTTGAAGTATCTTAAGATTTTACAAGTTAAACACAATCTAGTTTTTCACCACTAGGTGTCTCCAGGATAATTTTTGTTGGTTATGTTGATGCAGATAAACTGAACTTATGAATGAACTGAGAATCAGGAGATGATATTTTCTCATGATGTCATTGCACATGCGGCTTCATAAATACAATGACATATGTTCAGTTTCTGAACATATATTTGTGCACACAGATAACACAGGAGTTATACTAAATGATTTAAATATGACCTAATTGAAAACAAAAATATATACATTTGTTACAATGTCCAGCACTTTTCTCTCCAAGCAAATGGCAAAAGAAAGTCTATTTCTACTTAGTAGCTTACATTAGACAGTGTAGATTGAGATCAGATTTGTATATTTTAACAGCTCACCATATGTTGTATATTAAAAAGTAATGTTTACCATATTCAAGCGTTAATGTATTTTATTTTAGGTTAAATATGTGGTAAAGTTCAGGTGTGCTGGATAATGGTCTCACCTGGAGAGGCAGTCAAAGCCATCATCCCATAGAAGGAGAAGGGTCCTGCTTCAAACTTCATGCCCTCTTTTCCTGCCTCCACCTCCACTTTCCCCTAAGAATGCAACAAGCATTACACATTATAGCACGCTTTTGTTGAACATTCCTTTCTTCCATCATATTCATTACGAGGCACTGCCCTTTATTTACTAAATGAGTTATCTATCTATAACATAGTTGGTAGTTTTGATCCCAACTGCCTTGCGGTACAATCATACCACGCATACCTTTGCAGCACGCGTGGCCCCTGTGGGAACAAACATCTCTCTTAGATCGATGGCTTTACCATGAAAAACAGCAGGACTATGGAAAACAACAGCAGTGGCTGCAGCTGTAAAAGGTTTTGACTAATCTGAGCATAACACTGGACCAGTCTATACACAGAATAGATGTTTGTTTTAATGACACATAAACTAAAGTAGGATAGGCACCTGCAGGATAAGAATAAAGTAGTCCACTGGCTTGTTCCTGTGGTAGAGGTAGTGCTCAGCTGCACGCTTGTTTTTCTCATCGTATTTCAGCTCCTGGATGACGTTTGGGTGTTTCAGCAAACGGAGCAGGATCTTTTCTGACATCTGCACTGGTGCAAAAGGCTCTACCTCTGCAAAGACCAGATACGACTGTAAGCAATACTAGATAGAAAATCAATGAACTGGAGCAGAGCACACACACAAGAAGCTCTGAAGGACAGGTTAATCAATTAAATACATTTGTGCAAAAACCACACAACTGCAGTTTTAAATCTATATGTACTTTCACAAGAATATTTCTTTCATAAAATATGTTAACTTACGGGTCATTTTAGAACTACTGCTCTTTTGTGCAACAACATCGTTAGTTCAAATAACTCAATGTTAAGCTGCTAGATTAAAGTTCGAAAACAAATCCAGCACTGAGGCAGTCTCTAGCTGTCTTGTGTGTCTGTTTTGATAATTTAAAACATTTCATAAATGAAAGGGGAAATGTCTCTTTATACTACAAAAACAAGAAAAAATAGATTAGCTAACAATGTTAAATCTGATGACTGTATTATTTTAATAATTATATAGTAACAATAGTAAAGCTTTTTATTGGTATTACCCAATGCCACAGTGGTATAAACAAGGTTGTACTTTGGTTCAGGCAGATGTCCCATGTCAGACCTCCGGCACTCACACAAGGATGCATACCAACTTCACACAACAAACCACAGATAGTCATTCTACACACATCGTCACTCCTCCCTACTCCCCCTGGCTCACAAAGTCAAACAGACTTGCACACTCGCTGTCCCTCACTGAGGGGCTGAGGGCACACAGGGGGAAGTCAAGCAGCAACGCAGCCCACTTGCCTGTTGCCAGGAAACGCAGGGTAGCAAGCAGAAGCTGAGGTGATATTTTAACCTTCATTTCATTGTCGGTAGGCTTAAAGGCAGAGAAATCTTGTTTCCTCTCACGATGGGTAATTTTCTTCTTTGTCTTGTTGTCAGCTAAAGAGACAATCCAAAATCAGACACAGGGCATCATGCTTAAAACTTTTTTGTCTAGATTAGAACAAGGTCAACCACTAAGCAAGCCATACCAAGTCATAAGATCACATCACAATTAGAGACAAATTAGTAGAGATTGACCACTATGGATTTTTTTTTTTTTATAGCCAATGCTGATTGTTTAAAATCCAAAGCAACTAACGGCTGAGAGAGCCAGTATTTTCAGAGTGCTGAAATATAGAGGCAATTTTTACTATTTTCCCCAATATATTTGATTTGAATTACAAAAAGTGTTCAAATAAAGCTGTCCAAACATGTCTGTGTGCAAATAATGGTCAGTCTCTACAAATTAGAGACTGAAACTTTAGCAAATTTGTCTGAAGCCAAGCTTGCTTATTCAACTGTATTTAACATTCACATAAGTTTGCTCTCCATTATAAAAAAATATTTAATAAAGGTCTAAAATTAATTAAAAGAAACATGCTACCAGAATATTTAAACATTTTCAAATTGAATACATAAAAAAAATGTGATTGTCCACAAGGAACATACTGTACAAGTCAGTCTCGTCAAGGATCTCAGACTTGATGATTTCTTCAATCACATCCTCCAGTGTCACGATCCCTAGGACTTCATAGAAAGGGTCTCCTTCACCCTCATTGTTCACCCTCTGGACTATGGCAAGGTGCGACTTTCCTGGTAAAACACACAAACCAACAAGTAGTAAGTTCCTGGACACAGTCGACTGGAACTAGATAGAGTTTCACCATAATGTTATTATATAGATACAATTTGGAAATGGAGCTAGTGTTGTCAAGTAATGTGCGAGAGGATTACAAAACTCAAACAAAGGAGACAAACATTCGGCATAAATTTTAAAAAGTTCGATTTACAGTGAGAATTAAACAAATAATTTGACTTTTTTCAGCTTGTGATCATTTAAAAGGAATTTTCCAGAGGCACAAGCTAATATTAGCCCCTACAAAATGAAGTTTCCACTCTGCCCCAGCGTTATTCTCCCAGAGAGAAGGAGCAGAGCGCTGAAGCCTCCTCCGTGTGATCAGATTGTCTTGAATGGGTCATTTGCATGCAGAAACACCACAGTGTAAATAGCTGAGGCTGTCCAGAGAGTGTGCATGGGAGTGCATGATTAATTTGTGTTTTGGAAAAAGCATGGCTAGCGAGGGTCGAGATGCTGTTTCAGCTCATGAGCGCAGCGTGGACTCAAAGAAATGCTTTATTGTACTGCAGCACTATGACAACACAGTGTGCAACCTGCACACTGATCTAGGCCTCTTTAGTGCATCTATAACTACACACTTTGAAATCTAAGTGAAATGATCTACAAAACTGCCCAGAAGACAATATAAACAGCTTAGTCCTTTCAACATTTTGAAGATAAATGGAAGTACTAATGTCAGTTTACATCATTCAGTGTGTGGTGGGCAGTTGCTGTTGAAAATACTGCTAATTCTAACATCTTAGCTATGGCCACAAAACAGTCCTGTGTAAATGCACCCAAGTTAATTTAAATGTAGAGCAAGGTAAGGCTGACTAGGTAAGAATATGCAGATATCACTGACATATTAACTACATACTTTACTTTATCAGAAGGGGTTGGTCTTAAGTAGCCTTCATGGTTAGAGCAATAAGGTCTCAGAAGTCCTTGAGCCAGCAATTACCCTAAACAGCAGAACAAAGAGGAGGTAGGAGCACTGAACACAGATCAATGCCTACTTTGCTGTAATGACAAGCACTTTCTTACAAACAAGGTTCCTGTGATTTCATCTCAACTGTTACACAGGCTAATGCACAGACAGACAAAAGACACATTAGGCTCATAAATATCTAATTTACAGATGTTGACTCTTAAATAATGTATAATAAATTATGTAATATGCAACAACCTAATCAGTCCCAGTCAATAAAACCTCACTTTTTGACAGAGAAATCTGCTTGACCCCTGACCTTTAAGCGAGCAGGCTGATAAGAAGTGAAGACATCACAGGGAACTCTTACAGCCCTCATGTCTGCAAACACTTTAAACTCACAGTTTGTTTGACCTGCACAAACTAACAGTTTGTTCATCTCAACACGAGATTGACTGTTTTATACAACAAAGAAGAGCAACAGTAGAACTCTCTGGATTATCTCTTAGTGTATTAGGGTATACAAGGCATTACCGTTATGTTCCCTAATTAATATTATTCAAACACTCAATATGGAGCATTTCTGGCATTACATGAAGCTATTGCTGGTTGTACTTTAAAACAAAATTTGATTCCTTCAGAACAGGACTGATTTGTTCCAATGGAGCCTTGGCAGTAGACCCAAGAAAGAGGATGTCCTTTGAAGGCCTGTTGTCCAGGAACCTATAGGCACTGCCTGACATCTAGACTGTCTGACTGGGCTCAGGCTAAATGCATGCTGGGTAATCCCGAACCCAGGCCCATGACACACATTAAGATCACAGGTTGAATTAACTTTCAGTTTATTAAAAAAAAAAAAAAACTACTTAATAACATGGCGTAGCAAGCACCTTGACTATATCATGAGAGATTGCTGTCAGATGCCACATCTGTATGATGCAAACCACTGCTGAATGCAAGTTAAAAAAAAAGAAGAAAACCATAAGTCTGCTCTAGAGATAGAGATAGAGCAGGCTAGAATCAGTCTGCTCTATCTCTAACACAAATTACACAAAACAATGCTAACTAGGCTTTTATTCTTGCCCCTTAAAAGAATTAGCCAGTAACCTATGCAACAACTTTTGTGCCCCGTATTTTGACTCTTTCCTACGCTACCAACACATCAGGCTTTTATGTAAAGGGTCAGCAGACAGTTTATCAGTCTATCTATCTATGTCCCTCACCCAGGCCTGAGAACCTCCAGCCAAGCCATCAGAGACTACACTGGGTGATCTTTTCCAAAATTCCCAGCTTATTTATGGAATGTAGCTTTGTCATATTTTTCCACAGCACAATTTGACCCTAAAAATAGTGACCGAAGGCAGGAGTATGAAGGGTCAGTATCTGTTGTGGACCCTCATCAATGCCCCCTCCCTGTCTTCCTCTCCTCCCATTTTTCCAAATATTTCAGACAAATATAGCACAATGTCAGGGTGATGGGAACCGATCAGTTATTTTAAATATACCTCTCGTGAAAAAATGCTGCAGAGTTTCCAGTCATTTTGACCCATTTTTCCGTTGGCTACAACAACAGTGTGAGGCAACACTCAACCAACCAAAGCAATAATTCAGGTTTTGTTATGCATTTAAGGTCCAGTAACCTATGGGGTATTTGAATCCTGGATTTGGGATTATCTTAGCTCATTGTTCATTGACTGAAATGGATTTATGATGACGATTTTGTTCAAATACTGCACCATCTTGATATACTGTAAGCAAACGCAGGACTAACAATAAGTAATCGTCTCACTACTACTATTCGTAGTTAGATGATTGCTCTGCAGCTCCTGGTGGTGTGCACATGTACAGCATGCACCCTCACAGAGAATGACATTGTTGCTCATTGAGAGAAGAGGCTGCGTTTGTTTTTGGACGGTCCCCGGGTGGAGATTCCTCTGAGCCTCAGTCATACGGAGCAGCGTCAATGGGACAGCAGTGAGAAAAGTGAATGGGCCTGTGGTCAGGTGCCACTATAGGACACTGTCAGAGAGATGGAATTTAAAGTGAACTATACAATGCTTTGATTGTTTTAAAATAACTTTCCCAAATGACAGCAGTCGGTTACAGGCATAACAATATACTACTCCTTTAATTCACAGTTCTGCTGCTGATAAATAAACAGTAAATTATGTATAACAGTCCCGCTAAAACATGGCAACGTCTTGAATAACAAGAATATTTCTTTGTAGATAACTTGTTCTGTGAGAACTCAGGGTTTGTCAGACAGTGTGTTTATATTAGTCAGTGGTATAAAACACCTGAAGGGTTCTTAAAATGTTGTGTTCAGGGTCACTAGGCCTCATCTACATTTGTCCTTGGTTAGTAGACCTTTAGTTAGTCTCATACTAAATGTGTAACGACATTTAGTATGAGACTAACTCATGCAATAGTTCATAGGAAAGGTCTGATGTGGATTTTTCCAGTAAATAAGATCTAAGTGCCCAATAATAATAAGTGTAAATATAAAGATTTAAACAACTATCACAATATGAGTTTTAGTAAACTAGTTTTCACAAAACACCATCATTATATAAATCATTGCACTTCAGGCATTTTTATCTGTGAATTTGCATCTGTAGCATGTCCACTGCCCATGGGTAGAAGATGGTAAGCAGCTTGTTTGTGTGTGTAATTGGGTTTTAGAACACACTACACTGAGGACAAACTATGACACGTGGGCACACAGACACTGGGGCAGTACAGAACTAAATAGTGCTGCCAGCCTGCTAAATATCGAACAGATATCAACAGTAACATTGCTATATTGTTCATTCCTATAACAAACTATTATGAAAATAGCTGTTGTATTCCAAGTTATATGTTTACATGTTAACGAAGAAACCACATAATCCCATAGTAAATGAAGTAAAACGCACAAAATTGCTTTATTTCTCTGTAAAAACTTTTGTGTTGTTTTTAATTTTAACATCCCAAATACAAAAGAATGTGTTTTGAATGGCATGACAGAACATAGGAATGACAGCCTTGAGCAGCAGTAGTTGTTGATAAGCATTTCCGAAAACATGAACTAGTGTCACAGTTAAAATGTCAACACTAAAGCTATCAAATAAACATTAATGTCAGACTCCACATGTTGTCATAATCTGTGAGCCTCTAGAAGCCTCCGATGCTTTAATCTATTACAACACTTATATTGTGGGCTTTTTGATGTTTTTAGTCAAAGGGTCAGTTGTGGCTGAGGCCACAGGCCATAGAGGGGCGCCACTGACTGTTCCCCCCTCGCTGTTCACTCAGAGACACAAGAAAAAGGGGAAGTGTCACAACGAGAACCGAATGACCTAAAATGCTTCTGTGCATTTGCTTTAGAACATATCTGCTATTGCTCTGCATTAGTCTGTTCTCTACATCTTTGTTTTTCAATGTTTTATAAATGCAATGGTTGTGAAATTTTCTGGATCAGATCCAAAGTCTTGGCCCGAGAGAAACCGTTTCTGGTGAATAGCGTAAACTAAAGGGGGTAAAAGCAGGACAAGGATATACGTAGAGTAACGCTGTAAGATATTGTAGCTGATTCACAGAGAAGCTCTTAATTTCATAAAAGCTGGTAGTGGACTGGCTTATTAAGTGTGTAATGCTTAACAGTAAGGCATCCTGGTAAAATGTGCATTGAAGAAGTGTCAAAAGTAGGTTTCATCAGCCAATTGTCTTAGGGCCTTCTCAGTCCTAGGCCTCTCCTGGTGCCAGTGAATGGAAGAGACGGACAGTGTGCCCGGTGTTATCAATGAAGGCAGCCTCTTGGCTCCCTAAAAAGTGCAGCTTGGAAGGCGTCCACGGCATGGCATTAGGCCTGGAGGTTTGTGTCGTTTGTAATTTATAACACTGAGGGAAATGGGCAACAAGACAATATGGAGAGAAGAGGGAGAGAGGGAATGTGGAGAAGGGGGATGGGACTTCCCTGAGGCTGCAGCACAGTGCTGGTAACCAGGCTGAGCGAGCCGGAGGGCACCCAGCTCCAAGCACTGGCACTACAGACATTATGTTTTCACA